AGTCAAGAATTTGTGGCATTAACATAAGGCAGTTTGTCTGCCTTAGGGCTGGAGACATGGGTGACTGCCCGCAGGCTATAGTGAAGGTTCCCTGCATGTTTGGGAATGCATTTCTGCAAACTAAGTTGTTTTCATTTTACAAATTAAAATTAATGGCCCCATCCCTGCACCATGATGCAGGTAGATTTTTTTTTTTTATTATTATTTATTATCAATCATGCAATAGCATGGAGACATCTGATCAGTCTCAACTTCATTCTGTACTATGACAATGACCCTAAAACACAGACAAGCATAACTATCTACAGCAAAAACGGGAACAGGGAATAGGATTGCCCATACAGAGCTCAGATGCCAGGAAAGGCATGCCAGCTTACCTACCCAAGCGTTACCACAGACGTGCATAAGATCCTATTAGGTTCTTGTCACATAAGGTTGCCACAAGGCTCGTGTCATCAGACACTAGCTTCACACAGTGGTTACAGATGTATACATACACCCTGAGAGCTATTTAATCTCAGCTTTATCTGAGCTTGGTGTTAACTGCACAGTGCTGAAAACTTATGTTTATCTACTTTGATCACGGTTTGTGTTTAAAAAATTAGCTTAGATTTTTTTAGAGATTACAATTCTGGTACAAAGTATTGCAAAGTCATTTACAAATGTAAAAATGCTTTTATTTACAATGTTGTCCTTTTAGACTAAACAAACAAAAATGAAAAAGGTTTAACTCAATGGTTTAAAAAAAATAGAACATCTTAAAAAAATCAGCAGAAAAAAATTAATGGAATATAGAAGGGAATTAGTTAATTATTCATAATTCATTCCCCTCTATATTCCCTTAGTTTATTTTTTCTACTGATTCTTTTTTTTTATTATTAGGGTCACCCCCTTTGATCTGCATATAAATGAAACAAATTAAGTACAAAGTAGCAATGTTGCATTGTATTTCCTTATCAATAAAGGTATTTTGGGTGGCCATAGCATGCCTAAGAGCCTCAACCCGTTAAACACCTTTCCGTACGAATTAATCTTAGCGGGTTGTGGCAGATTGTCACCCTTGAGCCTTTGTTACTAGCAAACGGTAGACAAATGCAAAAACATTTTTTTTTAAAGTTACCAAACAGGTTATTACTTACCTCTGTCTCTGCTGCTCGGTCCCGTCCGAAGATCTGAATATTCCTGAGCGGCCGTGGGGGGGAAGGGACCTCTCTGTCAGTTCAATTTTCTCAATGCTTGTCATGAAGTATTAAAGCCAGAGACAGCCAAACAAATGGAAATTATCAAAACTGGAGCAGACAGAATCTGGAGCAGCTGTGCATGGCAACCAATCAGCTTCTTTCTTTCTTTCATTTTCAAATCTAATGGTGCCCACACACCTTGCGATAATCGCGGGGAATCCCGCAATCGTACGATTATCGTAAGGTGTGTGGAAGCCGTGCGACCTCTACTACAGTAAGGCCGCACGACTTTTATCTTAGGAACATGTTCGAAAACCCGCCAAGCATCGTACGATGTTCGGCGGGTGTGTAGCATGTTCGTAAGATAAAAGCCGGACGGGCCGGTGTGCGCAAGCGCACACTGCCCGTTCGGCATTGCGGTCATCGGAAGCCCGCCCCTCGGGGGCGCGGCTTGCGATCATCGCAAGTACGATCTGCCTGTCCAAGATAGGCAGATTGTACGTTTTTTTAATTACTTACAACCATCGCAAGACAAAAGTCTTGCGATGGTTGTAAGGTGTGTGCCCAGCCTTAACTGAACAAACTGAAGAGGGCAGCTGATTGGTTGATATGGGCAACTGCTCCAGATTTTGCCTACTCCAGTTCTGATAAATTCCCCCCATAGTATTCAACTGAACTACACTGGGCTGGAATGAGATATGCAAATGTAACAATATGTGCAAAGTTTAACACATCGCTTACCAATTAACATTATCTTGGTAATATCTTATAAGACTATTCCGTCTTTGCTTAAATAAAAAGGTTTCCTTAATGAACTACATATATAACTTTAATGTGAACTGCAGAGACAGTAGCTGCAAACCAAAACATACATTTTCAAACTCAAAAACTCTTGATCACACACAAATTGATGAGTTTATCAAAACTGGAGCAGACAAAACCTGGAGCAGCTGTGCATGGCAACCAATCAGCTTCTATCTTCAGTTTGTTCAGTTAAGATTTAAAAATGAAAGCAAGAAGCTGATTGGTTTTTATGCACAACTGCTCCAAATTCTGTCTGCTCCAGTTTTGACAAATTCCCCTCAGTCTTTAAGGTATGCTGGTGGCTTGACTAACCACCTGGCCCTTGTTGGCAAAGTGGTTTGTGCAATTGGTTGTGGTTTGGCTTGCTGTTGTCAAGTTTGTGAAAATGAGACATTTTCCACTTTCGTATCAACTCTTAGCCACCAGATCTTTTCACTTAAAGAAGAAGTCTCACCATGCATTATTTCTCACAACTCAGTCACCTAACTCCCACAGTATATGTATATTTGTATCCCTTGCTTCTGTGTGCTGTACAAACTGAGTTACAGACTTTGACAGCTCACTCCTCTTCGTTCGCAATGGTGCTTTGTAAAGGAGATCGACTCTTGATTGACAGATCTCATCTCGTTGTCCCTGCACTTTCCAGACACAAGCGAGATCACAGGAGTGCAAAGGGAGGGGGGCACTCTCTGTGGAATGAGCACAGACAATAGAACTGGAAGAAAGCATTATTTTGTGTTTGGAAAGTGCAGAGACCGTGAGAGAAGGGCTGTCAATCAAAAGTCCATTTCCTTGACAGAGTGTGGTCAAGAATGATGGAGTGCGCTAACGCAGTCTGTTAAATTAGTTTGTATTGCACACAGCAGCATGGGATGAAAAGCAGAATATACTGTGGGAGTTAGATGACTGAGCTGTGAAAAAGTAATACAAGGCATGACTTATTATTTAAAGGAGAACTATGGGGTCAGTGTTTTCCCCCATAGTTCTCCTTAGGGTAACGGGAGGACACAAACTAGCGTCCTCCCGTTACCCTAAGCTCAGTATACCGCGAGCTACATCTCGCGGTATAATGAGACGCCGGAGCGGATCCCGACTTAAATGACGATCCGCCCAGCTGCGTGAGTGACAGCTGGCTGTACCTATCTAGAGGCAGAGCCAGCTGTACCCGCCCCCGTCTGGCCCCCAGCCCCTCCCCCTGTCACGGCAGAGAGCCGTGACAGGATTGAGAAGTGAGCGAACCCGGTATGTGTTCGTTCACCTCCCGATCTACTGAGCCGACCTGTGACAGTCTCATTGTCACAGGTCGGCTAGAACTATGAGGTGAGTGAAAAGCACTCACCTCATAGTTCTCCTTTAAGTGTTGCTTGGTGCGTACAATGCATTGTTTCTCTAACCTTAAAAGGCCTGTTAAAGGGTTTGTTTTGTGGAATTTAGGTGGTATAAGCCCATTGGAAAATGTGCCCTTCAATGGTGATCTCATTCTTACATTTGGTAGAAAAGCACACATCGAGTCCATGGCCAAAGCCTTCATGATCTGTAGTGCCAAGGCTTGAACCCATCACTATTAAGAACTAGCTTTCTTGCTCTGATTACATCCACACAAGCCTGAATATTGGATACCCATGGTGTGGGTTCCTCCATTGGTTCAGTAAGTTGTCCAGAAAATTCCACTGCCCGATCCCTCACCTCTGAGTATGAGGGTTGGTGTCGGAAGATCTTTTTCCCGTAGAAACACTATAAGGTTATTCACAAAAGGGTGAGGAGTTTGGCGAAGGCAGGAGAAGTGAACAATCTAGGACAACATTGCTGAAATGGAAAGAGCTGAATTGGAGAATTTTTCCAAATCAGCTATTTTGTCCTAGATTGTTCACTTCCCCTGCCTTCTCCAAACTCTTCACCCTTTAGTGAATAATCCTGTATATTTCTCCAGTAAGGGGCCCCGCACACTGCGTGTTTAGCCTTCAATGTAAAGCAGTCCCTGTTATACTGAGTAATGTACCTGCCTTGACTGTATGTTACACATTATTGTTATAATCTACCTTTGTAAAAGTATTTCTTTTGGAAAAAACCTTTTGTAAAGGCTCAGTTACTTGACCATGTGGCAAAACATTTTACTGTAACTTAAAAACGAATCAGTAGGGATAACCTCAAATTCTGATGGTGAAAAGATCATGGATAATATTGCCAGAGGAAAGCCACAGTCCTAATTGCTGATCTATAAAGGTAATTTTGATTATAAACTTCTCTGTAAACAAAATTAACAGCTCTATAAAGCAGAATGCCTCAAAAATATGATGTTTGGATTAGGTCTATGTGAGTGCAGGTCTTTGCTTACACTCACTTCTGTTTCCTTAATCTATAGCCGAACACATATCCTGATATGGTCCTATCAGGCATCTCCCATGGAACAACATGAGGAGATCTGGGCACAGAGTTGAATGTAACCAACATGCTATAGTCAAAACCACTTGGAGTAATTAAAGTGAAACTTTACTCTCAAAAAACTTTGTTTTTCTCTTCTGCCAAAGGCCTTCTTCCCCTTTCAATATCTGTTGAACCTGCAAAGTACAGAATACACTCTTGGCATCTCCTAGATGCCATAGAGAAGAGACTAGTGCCAGGATGGTGAAACTCCCATCACACCCTAAGTCCAAAGGAGGAATTCACCAGCAGTGTTGCGATAAGGGTAAGGGCTCAGCTGTCATCACTGGAGCAGGGCAAACTTAGAGGTAAGTTTGACAATAATGTGTACTGCTTTCATATTGCTACTGCTACTCTTCATTTTGCTTTAATAGAGTCTGGTCCATTTGAGTGTATAAAGTGTATGATTCATGTGAAATCATGCAAGAAACTGCTTTGTGTAAAACTAGTTTATTTCTAATTCCATTTTGATTGAGTGATTATGTGCTCATATAACTTCTGTAACGCAAGACAATGTCTCACTGTTTAAAAACTTTTCATAATCAAAAGGGTAACTTTTCTTCTGACCCTTTCTTTATTACATATGTTTTGCAGGCAAAGTGTCAGTACCTTCAATACAGGAGTCTTCATGGGCCATAAACTCAGAGGATGTTGATGCAGTAAACGCTTGAATTTCTTCCTGCATATCTACCTTGCTTTAAGTGCTTTTTTTTGCACAGACATTGAATGAGATTTGTCAACATTAAGGCAACACAAACCAGGAGCGCTGATACATTTTCTGAGATAAAATTACAACTTTATTTATAAATGACCTCTTTACTGAATAAACATAACACTGTGTCAGTATTTCAAAGTCTTTTACAGCGGGCTGTAAAGAACTAGAGGTGCAGGGTTCACTATCACACACAAAAAGTTATGCAAAGCTTTTGCTAAATGCAAGGCAGATGATTTTGCACTATAATTTGTATATGCCTAAAGCTATTGATAACTTGCTTGATAAATCCCCCTCAATGTGAAATTCTATAAGAGATTGTATTGTTCTCTTTTAATGTCTAAAGGTTCCACTGGTTCCTTTTTGTTGTGCAATAACCTGTAGAGCTTATTAGACCTTAAATTGTACAATTTAAAACTTGACTCCAGAAAAAAAAAAACATTTTTGGGGAAATATTAAAAATGTTTTTATCTTTGCGATGTCCTCAATGTGTAGGAAGGTTATCTCACGGATGAACTTATTGCACAGGTGGCAACCGATCACGGTACCATGCTTGAATTCACTGAGCTCCTGAGAGCGACCGATTCTTTCACAAATGTTTGTAGAAGCAGTCTGCATGCCTAGGTGCTTAATTTTATACACCTGTGGCCAACAGGCTTTACCAAAGAGTGATCAGGGAGTGGAGCAGAGTCGCTTGAGTGGTAAGGTAAGTGTTTTAGCAGCCCGAAGATGGGGTGGGGAGGGAGAGCCTGCACAGAGCCCACACACAGTGCCTGCACAGAGCCGGTAGTCCACCTGAGAGCCCTCGTGCCTGCACAGAACCCACAGTTCACCTGAGAGGCCGCACTGTGTCTGCGTAGAGCCCGCAGCCCATCTGGGAGCCTGTACAGGCTTAAATGTGCTAGTGGATAGATGAGGGGCAGTTAGTGTTAGTGAAGAGGGAGTGCGGTTAGTGTAAGGTCCTGCGCAACATATTTTTTTGGCCAAAATATATTTCCTTACTCTTAAATATTGAATGCACTGATGACTTGGAATACACTTTTCAATTTTATATGTTAAGTTGTAAGAGTGTTAAAATAAAAGTGGGTGCACTGAAGGACCCGGTGGGACAGCCAGTGGTAGTTTCTGATGGCAGCCCTGCCAGTACAACATTAGTGAGTGTATTATAGCGACCAGCGCCGCATCAATGTGTGCACTGTAGAGACCAGCACATGATGCATCCTGATTCCCGGGCTGTGTAATTTGTGGAAAAGGGCATGTTTAGCCTGAAGAATAAATGCTCAAGCAAGGATCCAGGTCCCTGGAAAGGTGAGAGCCAGGGGTCTTACTATTATTGTTATACACTAAACCTTGCCTGCAATCACTGTGTACTTATCTGTAAATCCAGCACTGACAAACTGCCTGCTCCCTATATATTCCAAGAAGTGCAGTACTGTCTGCTTCTCGACAGAACTAAGGGTTATCTACATGCCTCTACTTGTATCATCTCCAACCAGGATTGCAGATCAGTATGTATGGTATACATACCTGCAACTATGCCATATGTCCAACACTGCCAATGTTTCGTACATCCTGATTTCATACATACCCAATTCTGTGTACGTGCTATATATTATATACAAACCTACAAATATTCCATATATTATTATTTAATGTCCAATACTTTATGCATCTTTGTATCATATCTATCCAATTCTGTAAAGATTATGTACATCTTAATCCCATTATCAGTCCTGCATTTTTTCCCCAACCCGGCCCTGTTAGTACTAGAAGAACAGGTCACCACTGGTTCCATTATAATAATTTTTCTTTCACGTTATTTCGACCTGGCAGACCAGATTGGCATCAGCCACAGTACGAACGTAGATCAGCCTAACACCACCAATTATTGAATTATTGTAAAGTTATTACTAGGAATGCACCAATACCATTTTTTCCCCCAGACCGAGTATGAGTACCGATACTTTTACTAGCAGATAACCATTAGCGAGCTTTTTTTTGTGTGTGTAATGCGACAGTTTATCTAAAACAATACAGGCAAATTATTTTTAAGACAGTGGTGAAGCGCCAGGGCCTTGTCCCAGCTGCAATCGTTGTGACCCAGGTAGTTCTGCCACTGACTCCAACCTGTAGAGGGACTTTTTTTTTTAATGGTATCTATCTACCAGTAGCTGCCTCATTTCCCACCCTCGGCTTATATTCGGGTCAATACTTTTTCCCAGTTTTTTTTGCTAAAATTAGGTACCTCGGCTTATATTCGGGACGGCTTATACTCGAGTATATACGGTACATTATACAACAATGTAGGATACCACCACATATAGAGGACTACAAATCCCAGCAATACATTATACAACAATGCAGAATACCACTAGCTATAGAGGCCTACAAATCCTAGTGATGCATTATACAGCAATGCACAATACCACCAGCTATAGAGGACTACATATCCCAGCAATACATTATACAGCAATGCAGAACAATACCATCAGCTAGAGAGGACTACAAACCCCAGCGATACATTATACAGCAATGGCAACCAGCTATAGGTAACTACAAATCCCAGCAATGCATTATGCATCAATGCAGAATAATGTGAAGCTACATGCTCTGGGGTGCCAGCCTAATGTCTCCAGGGGACAACCCCAGGTGGCTGGGGTTGGTCCTCGAAGGCTGTCTGAGCTCTCAGGAGGCTGTGCAGGTTCTATGCCGGGCTGTGCGGGGTCTAGGGTGGGCTGTGTGGACTCTCAGGTGGCTGTGCGGGGTCTATGGTGGGCTGTGCGGTAGGGCTGAAACAACTAATCGATAAGTCGGTAATAATCAATGATGAAAATTGTTTTTCATAATTGATTAGTTGGTTGATCGATTAGTTGGGCTGTTTTCAGGTCCTCACACCCTTGCTCTCGCCGCCTCACTCGAAAGCGTGGTATTAACAGGCCGGGCCAACCCAGAGAACAGTGTTGACGAGTCCCGGCAAACGCCTAGCTGAGCAAGGACTGACCATTCGGGCACTGCCTGAGGACCCGTGGCCCCCCTAATGTTTCAGCCTCCTCCTCTCCGGTAGTGTTGGGCTCGATGTTCGAGTCAAACAAGAGTTCGACTCGAACATCGCTAGTTCGTGTGCACTGCACCTTGTGAAGCCCTGATTGGCTAAAGCCTTGCACTTGACCCCAGGTCAGGTGCAAGACTTTGCCCAGTCATGGCACAGAGAACTGTGAGAGCCATGATTGGGCAAAGTCATGATGAACAGCATCATCATGCCAGCGTCTGGTTTAGTGAAAGCAACAAGAATCTGTGTAGTACCTGAAGGAAAATAGCACCACTGTGGTTAACAGAAGCTAGGGTTTGCCATGGACTAGAAAAACCTAATGTGAATAAATCCCCCAGACCAGATAGCTCTGGGTGCAAGTTAAGTATGATAATAGCGAGACCATTGTCCCTAATCTTTAAGGACTCCATACTGACTGTGGATGTACCAACTGACTGGAGTAAAGCAACTGTTGCACCAATATTTAAAAAAGGTTTAGGATGCGTACTTGGGAATTATAGACCAGTCAGCTTAACATCCATAGTATGCAAGCTATTTGAGGGTATGATAAAGGACCATATTCAAGAATATGCTTATGTGCGTGATATCATAAGTGATAACCAACATGCCTTTAGCAAAGACCGTTCATGTCAAACCAACCTATTAGCGCTCCATGAGGAGGTGAGTAGCAACCTAGATGTAGGAAAGCCAGTGGACATAGTGTACCTTGATTTTGCAAAAGCATTTGATACGGTACCTCAAAGTTTAATTTACAAGCTTCATTCCTTGGGCATTGATGAAATGGTGTGTACTTGGATAGAAAACTGGCTAAGGCCTTGTTCACACCAAGTGCGTTCCAGGAGCAGAGCAGTTACAGACCGGATCAAAACTGTCCAATGTATTCCAATGGTATTTTAGGCTCTAGTACACACCGCAGCATTCAGTTCCAGAGCATGTTAAAAAAAAAAAAAAAAAATGCAGCAAGCCCTATTTTACCTGCTCTGGAACACATGCAAACAGCCCGGAACTCATAAAAAATGCGGTCAGAACACTGCACTGCATGTGCAAAAACTCATGCAGATCTGGTCTGCATTTGGTGTGAACAAGCCCTAAATGGTCCTTGGTTGGCAGTGGTGTGCCCCAGGATTCTGTCCTGGGGACATTGCTGTTGAACCTGTTTATCAACAATATTGGGACTAATAGTAATTAGGGTTGCACAGATACCAAGTACAGTAATCGGTACGAGTACAGGTACCGATACTTTTGAGCTCCAAGACTACACTAGAGAAAAATTCAAAAATTAGGAGGCAGCTGTCATTTGTAAGGAGCAAACGGAGCTCCTGGGATTTGTACATCTCTGTTTTAATGTACGATTTTGTTTTTATAAATAAAGGGATGCACAGATACCAGTTTTGCGAGTACTGGTACTGGCCGAGTACTTACAAGAACGAGTACTGATACATTCTTGTTTATTGTCATGTGACAGTTTTTCTAAAACAATACAGACTAATGATTTCAGGGCAGTGGTGGCGTGCCAGAGCCAGGTCCCAGCTGCAACCCTGGTAGTTCTCATGAAAATGCCAAGTATCTGTGCATCCCTAATAGTAATATTTCGGTTTTTGCTGATGATACTAACATTTGTAGGGTAATAAACTCGATAGAAGACATAGCATTACTTCAGGAAGATCTGGATAAAATTGAGAAGTGGCAGATGAGTACATAGCAGATGAGATTTTTTTTATCGAGAAGTGTAAGGTTATGCATTTCGGGATTAAAAATTCACATGCAAGCTATTTACTAATGGATGTTCCACTGGGGCAATCAGAGGTGGAAAAAGATTTGGGAGTCCTCGTGGACTGTCACCTTAGTAGCAGCATGCAATGCCAGGTTGCAGCAAATAAGGAGAGGAGGGTTCTATCATGCATAAAAAAAGGGAATGTGCTGTAAAGACGATTCCATTATTCTGCCCCTGTACAAAACACTTGTTCAGCCACATCT